GGGAGGTAAGACTATATTTGTCTTATATATGATTTTGATTAATTTGTTTAAAATTAATGTAATTCACTAATATATGTTTTTTTGTAAAACAGCATATCGATGCGTGGGTGTCACGTCTACTAATAATAAGGAAGCTTAGGAAAAATAAAAAAAATTCGCTATATACAATAATGCCGACGGCTTTTCACGCAGTTCACTTGAAGAATCAACGAGATGAATCATTTTTGTTGGGCAATGGACAAGCTAAACTTTATCCTGCATGGTGGGAGGTCGATAAGGTTAGTGTTTATTTTTTAAATTTTTTAAAGGTGTTAATAAATAAGTGCGCAAATAAATGAATTATTACTTATGATCGCAGGTGTTTATCCCTATTTTGGAACGTCGTCACTGGCTTCTCGTCCAACTTCAGCTCCCATCCCTGAAGATAATAGTGTATGACAGCATGATCAATTACATATCAATGTCTGATTTGAGAGATATTTTCAAGGGATGGAGCTCTCATTTGGCTAAATTCTTGGATGGGATTAAGTATTGGAGTCATTCTGGACACAAGAAGCCAAAGAAGTTCAATGTCACAGTTGTCAGAGACGAGACCGCGCCACAGCAATCGCCGGGAGCCAGAGGGGATTGTGGTCCTCTCGTATGCCTTTGCTTGACACGTTTGACGACGGGAAGCACAGAGTTTTTACCTCCCACCGATAGAGATAAAGCTGCAGTAGGCTTGTGGTTTCGGCATTATATGGCTAGAGCAATATATTCGAGACGCTGCCTACCTGCATCCGCGTTATGAAAGTGTCCATTGTTAATTGGTAAGTCAAATGCAAGTTTGTTAACATATATACTCCTTTTGGTTTGAAAATGTTGGTTAAGTACCTAGAATTCAATAATTGCTGTTTGTAGGTTTTAGATGTGTAGGAAGTCTTGTTTGAGCAAATGTTTGGTTTCTGCAGGTTAATCCTTAAGTGAGCTGCGTGAAATGGATGTACGGGGTCACAAAGTTGTTGATTCATTGATTCAATAATTGATGAAGAAATAAGAATAATTATTATTTTTTGATTGTTTAATTGATTTGTAAAAGATGATTTGTAAATCTTGATTTGTTTAATTGATGTGTACATAATTTGTGTTGAAATGTAATAGTTGATTTGTTGATTTTCAATCTGCTTTATGTTGAAGGCAAAACAGACTATCGCAACGCGAAATGGAAATCGCAATGCGAAATAAAAATCGCAATGTGAAATGAAAATCGCAATGCGAAATGAAAATCGCAATGCGAAATGAAAATCGCAACGAGAAAATCGCAATGCATATGTCAGTGAAACACCCCTGGCTTCGCTCATCTAGATAAAAATCAACTGTGGTCTTAGCCCAAAGGGTGTTATCCAGAATTGTGTCCGGTAGTTGTTTCCTCTCCTCTTCAGATACCGGTATGGTACTGGCCGGTAACTCATACGAGAGCCAACTTGAATCCATCATGTCCGGCACGTCAGAGGGTTTCTCAAGAATCCTATATATGACGCCATGTGAATCGGGCTCTTGAATGGTGGGAGGGACCTCTTCAACGATGACAGTGGCCTCTTGAACGGTGGGAGGGGACTCTCGAGGAATGATAGGGGCCTCTTCAACGATAGGAGTGGACTCTTGAGGGATGATAGGCGAGTCGGGCTTCTTCTTGCGGTGTCTTCGCACTATTGGGGTATACGGAGACTTAATAGCCGTGCACGCCGTCTGATGTGTGAACTCTGTCGTGCAAGAAAAACCCGACGTAAAGCATCCACCTTATCGGTCCGCTAAATAAAATACAAATATCAGTAAATAAACAGACATGATATTTAAACAGTAAAAACAAAGATAAATATTTCAAACTTTCAACCAAAGACAAAACAAAGACAAATACTAACTTCACAGTGTAAAGTAAAAAGTTTAGCAGTTTTGGCAGCAACCGAATAAATTTACTAAGCAATCTAAGTGAAATGGTAATTTAAGTGAAATTACGAATAAATTTATCATCAAGTTAAATATGGAAATCTTAAACTTACCTCGTTGCGTAGAGTATGAACCTCATTCTGCAACGATACTACCATCTCACGTAGAGCGGCAACCTCACCACGTAAAGTATACACCTCCACACGCCATGCACCATCGTTATCGCGTAGAGTACCGATCTCCTCACACAAGGCATTGACCTCATCACGTAACTCCCTTGACTCATCCCGTGGAGGTGGAGAACAGGGAGATAGAAGTCGTGGCATCTTTGTCGGTCGCCTATCATGAGGTGATGGTGGAGAAGAGACTCGATGATGTGATGGGATAGGTGATGGCTCTCGTTGTAGAGGTGTATAGTCGGGTCGATCAGGTGATGGCTCTGGGTGAGGTGATGGCTCTCGAAGTGGAGGTTGCTCATCATTCGTGCCATCAAAAAAACGCTGACTAGCTTGCCACCAATCAGTGGCAAGCTCAGCCTCCGTGGGTGTCAGTCTCATTAATGGAGTGTTGGCCTCCTAAAATATAATAAAAACTAAACAAAGTTAAACGTCTACTATTAATAACTTGTTTATATGATAGTATTGTGTTAACTTACATTATTTATTGTCGCATATGATATTAAGTCTTCCCAATCCAACATACGTTTCCTCTTCCAGGAAATAGCCCTAGGAATATCATCTGAGGATTTTAATGCATATGTCCGCATGCTGGGGAAAGCCTCGAATATCCAAATCTACAAACAATATAATAACAAACATTACTAATTGTTAAATAATTAATTATAATTTTGAAAACATTATATAGAAATTCTTACCTTAAAGGCCCAAATAAGCCTGACAAAGTGTATTTCGACCCATCGCCCCGCAAACTTTTGCGATCATCAAAGGCAGACGACAACTTAGTCCAGGTAGCTTTCCATATATACGAACCCCACGGAAACAGATTCCATGCATTTAGGTCCTCTACCAATAATATTAGCTCCTGAGGAATAGGTTGTCTGGCCTCTCTGCCTAGAAAGCCGGCATACAAAAGTAGTAGAAGGCATCTTTCTTATTAAACAATTTCTTCATGTCGTCGACATGTAAGTTCGGCTTCTCTATTGACTCATCAGGAAAAACCCTGGATAACCATGATGGGCGGGTGATATGACGAGTGTACCGGCCTACATCATCGTGTCCGAATCGTAGACCAGTGATTAAGCAGAACTCCTTCCGCCCAAAACAAGTATACGCCGGTGGAAAATGAAACCATATCTCTTCCTCACCACGTTGTATACTGTCGGGTAGATCGCTAGTCATGGTCTGAAGCCACAAATGGTCAAACTAGCATCTCCACCCGGATGCTGTACTCTCAGCCATGGCCCGAAGCAGGTTTCTTCAAACATTTTCTTTGTGCAGGTGAAAGCTTCGAAGCAATTGTAGGGCTAGGCTAACTTTATTCCTTAATGTCAATGAAGCCGAAAAAAATTTCTACAAAAAAACAATAACATACCAAGTTAGATATACCAAAAATTACACTGTCAAGATATACCAAAAACAAACAATAAACATAAATAGTAGTTTATTCTTGAAACTAAAATTTGCAACACTGTTTTTGTCTTTGGTTGAAATGAAATCGCACGAGATAATGAGAATCGCAACGCGAAATGACTATCGCGACCAGACAATCGCAACGCGAAATGAAAATCGCAACGCGAAATAAAAATCGCAACGCGAAATGAAATCGCAACGCGAAATGAAAATCGCAATGCGATTTTGGTTTCGCGTTGCGATTTTTATTTCGCGTTGCGATAGTTATTTCCGCGTTGCGATTTTCATTCTCGAAACTATTCTTCTTCTGCATTACTTCAACCAAAAGACAAAGCAAAGACAAATACTAACTTCACAGGCTAAACAGTTTAGTAGTATTGGCAGCAATCGAATGAATTTAATAAGAAATCTAAGTGAAATGGTTAATCTATTATTGAATTACCAGTAAACTTATCATCAATCTCAATATGAAAAACCTAAAATAATGCAAAAATTTCAAAATAAAAATAAAAAAACTAACCCTCGTAGGTTGATTTTCCATTTCTGAATGATTGTGAGGGATTTCGTCGGCGATGGGGACGGAAATCTTCGGAGATGGGTACGGATTTCGCCGTAGAGAGTGAGAGATGGAGATGGGACTGAGTGTTGTGTTTTTGGGTTTGAGGTTATGAGTTGCGATTACTGTGGACGGTTCATTTTCCGATTTATTAAGAAAAAATACGTGTTTGGAATTTGAAAAAAAAAATACGCGTTAATACGAATGGCGCTATGTAAATCGCGTTGCGAAAGTCAGTATCGCGTTGCGAAAGTAAGTATCTCGTTGCGATTTTGTATTATCGCATTGCGATAGTAAGTATCGCATTGCGATTTTCCCAATTCACGTTGCGATTTACTTATTCGCATTGCGATTTTCCCAATTCGCGTTGCGATTTACTTATTCGCATTGCGAATTGGGAAAATCGCAACGATATTGTAGACCATCGCAACGCGAGATCGCAACGCGATTTTCAACTATCGCATTGCGAAAATGCAACGCGAATTTGCGATAATGGAGATCGCGTTGCGAATTAGCGATCGCATTGCGATTTTGTTGGTCATTTTGGCAAATCCGGAAATAGTTGGTTAAAATCGTATATTATATGGGATTTTTGGTCACTGAGGTTATTTTCTCATTAAAAAAAAACTGTACAGTTGGCGCTAACAATTCAAGAGAGTAACTGAAATTCTGGGTTGGATAAATCAAAAGTCAAAACTTTAAGGTCGAAAACTTGCGTCATACTTAAAGACAAGGTACAGATAACCAACTTATATTCTCCCTAGAGGAACCCAGATGAACATATTCCACCCTAAAACATATGACATAAGGCTTGAAGAAGAGAGATGAGACTTCAAAACCTTTCAATCTCCTGAATTAACAACACTACTGAAATTTGAGCAAATCCAACTACAGGGAACAAAAGCACGAAAATCACACTACACAATGCCTTAATCTGATAAGTTCTTTTCTTGTTTCCAAAACCTCCTGTTTGCATCAAGCAAGCATACAAAGCCAATCACACAGAAAAACGCAACTAAATAGACAAATCAATTACACAATACTATGAATCATGTTCAACCATACCCTTCGATCCAAGCATTCTTATATCAGATCCGCAACATTCGTTGGCATTTCATCAATCTGGGTACTGTAGTACTGCTCTATGTCTCTAAGAATCTTGATGTCATCACTTTTCACAAAATTAATATTAACACCCTGCAGGAAAACAATAGAATCAACATACAGTAGTAGCAATACAAGCAACTTGAAGGCAGGAATAGGATCTGATATATCAAAAGAAATACCTTTCGACCAAAACGACCAGAACGTCCAATCCTATGGATGTAAAGCTCTCGATTGTTTGGCAGGTCGTAATTGATCACCAAAGACACCTGGAAACAAGAAAGGTAAATTTAGTAGAGTATAAAATGGAAAAGGAAAAGCCTTCAAGAGTGATAGAAAATTAAATATTTTCTTTCTCTCACATCCCCTTATTAGATTAAGCAAGTCAACCAATTGTAGAAAACTAAGTACATCTCTTAGACCTTTTGTAACCTTATACCTCAAGGCTAATAGTATACATAACTGGTCTTCGAGATAATATCTAACTACTATACTTGCTTGCATTTAACTATATTTTATTCTCCAAAAAATTAAATTACTACTCATCTAGAAACAACAAGCAAAAATACATCCATAAAGTGAGCACAAAAAGCACCCGTAAACACTTTCCTGCTGAACATCAAGCCCTCTAGCCCAAACATCTGTAGTGATAAGAACACGGGTTGCACCATCACGAAACTCGGCCATAATTGCATCTCTTTCCTTCTGAGGCATATCTCCATGCTGTCGAAACGATTTTTTCCTTAAAGGTGAAAAAAGGTGAGATTTTAAAAACCACATTAATTCTTAATTGTCTCTTTTTATTTTAAAAACTTATGCGATTTAAAAGACATTTCGTTTCGAAAAATTTTGAATTTCCTTTACTATCGAAAATACGGTTCGAAGAGTCACCACCAATATTTGATTAGGGTGTGATTAGGCACCCAAAAATGTTTTGTCATTTTAAATAAAAATTAATTTTAATTAAAACAACAAATTGAGGTCTGCGTTACCAAAGTCCGAGTTCGGGAGTCGGTTACGTGTGGGGAAGGATTAGCACCCCCACAACGCCCTAAATCGGTACCTAGTCGATTAATTAACGTCTTTGCAATAAACTTTACAAATTCAAATTTATTTTGATTTTTGATCCCATAAGACAAAGATGTAAATTTAAAAACATTCGAAAGCACTCAAAATAATTAAATTAAAAATTACCAAGTCGTTTTAGAAAGATAAAGAATGTTCGATTATTTACAAATATCGAGACCAGATCTTAAAGATATAACAACATTTTCTCGATATATTTAAATAAACGAACATTTCTTTTTCTTTCGTTCCCAAATTTTAGGTGACGAATCAATTTTTTTTGTTTCACTTTCGGGATACACTTTTATTTTAAAATCATTAAAAGCGGACCTCAAATCAGTTATGACTGCCCACTTAAAATAATTTTAAATTAAAAGTATATTACCCTTAATCCAATTATGTAATATGTCGAGTTATGCTCATGAGGATATCATACATAATTAATTATACCTAAATACATGCGTATGAACAACATGCTTGAAATAACATATACATGTATACACTTAATCTATATTAACCTTGCCAACATACATAAAATAGTAAACAAATGGCCTCAAAATAAAATTTTAAAAGTAATGGGTCAGAAATACAATCAATACAAAATTCAATTAAACACACTAAATGGACTAAAATAGAACATGCAAAACACGAGGGTCAAATGTTAAAAATTGCGAAAATTATACAAGCACAGATTGGACTAAATTTAAACGCATTTAAAATAAAGAAATTAAACTAAAAACACAGAAGCATTCGTATTAAGGACTACAACGAAACATGCGAAAATTAAAGGTGAAATATCTAAACAACAGAAACTAAATACATTACTAATTAAGGACTTAAATTAAATGTGCGTAAAATATGGAAGCAAAATTAAAAATATGAAAATATCAATTTAAGTATTAAAATGAGAAACGGTTAAAACTAATAGACCTAAACCATTAATAACCTATGCCAAATTTGGCAGCCTTAAACACTGTCGTTTCAATGAATCCATATATACAAAATATAGGGTAATAGCTAAACTCTAAATTCACTTGTAACATATCCCAGCCGCAATCCCATCTCCATTCTCTCCTAATCGACTCTCTTCTTCCCCTTTCTTTCCCTCGGCGACAACACTAGACTAGATACCATGGCCACCTTCTCTAAAGCTCAACAAACAAAACCCTAAGCACCCAACGAACAACCTAAACGACCTAGAACCTCAACCCCAAAACCCACATGCAAACACTCGGTTGGCCTAAGAACGCGACCCCCGACGCTTGGTCAAGGTAAGCTCTTTCTCACTCGCCCTTTACTATTCTAGGTTACCTTTCGAATGTTTTTTGTTTTAATCTTCTCTCAAAATTTTAATCTAATGATTTTTGGGCATTCTCACTTTCATGTTTATGAAATCCTCCAATATACCATTTAACATAAATCTAATCCTAAAAATAAACAACACAACAACCTTAGGGCTATAATGAATACTCGGATGCTTACCCCGATGGCTCCCGTTAAGGTAATGAATCGAACTCCTCTTGTTTTCAATTTCTTGAAAATGCTTTGTTTTATGTTGTTGAGTTGTTGATCGAAAGAAAATGAGGAATGAATGTACTGCTTGTATTGCTTGATTTCAGAAGAAAAATGGGTAAAACCCGTTGTTACATTCTTTGATTCCCAAATATTGTTTTTTTTGTTCTACAATCGATTTTCCCTCGCTGTTTTTTTTTGTTAAAATTTTCCCCCTTATCCATCCTAACCCTCTCCCCCGTGATGGTGATAACCCCCCCTTTCTTTAGTTTCCAGCGGTTACCCCTTTAAACTGATCTTTTCAGGGTTTTTTTTTCAGTCGTGTTCCTCTTTATTAACTGCCTTCTAACCATTTTGTTTTCCAGACTTCACGTGGGCTGGTTTACTTTGCTGATGAATATTGGACTTGAATCAGGCCTTTAACGGCTTTGGGGTCGGGTTTAGCGACCTGGCCCCGGACACAAACGAGCATCTACAGCTGCCCCTCTTTGTTCATTGTCGTGTAACGAGAATAGAGCAAAAATCAATAGATGGTCGAGTTTTGTCCATCCATGAGAACTTCAAAAGGTTAATCCGCTTCTCTACTACTCCTAGATAAGCGAGACTTGAAAAATCTTCAAATGACGGGTCCGCTCCCTATTCTTTTAGGGAGTATAAGACTCGAACAATCTTCGACAAACGTGTCTGCTCCCTATTCATTCAGGGAGTATAAGACTCAAACAATCTTCAACAAACGTGTTTGCTCCCTGTTTGTTCAGGGAGTATAAGACTCGAATAATCTTCAACAAACGAGTCTGCTCCCTATTTCTTCAGAGAGTATAAGACTCGATCTTCAATAAACATGTCCGCTCCCTATTCCTTCAGAGAGTATAGGACTCGAACAATTTTCAACAAACAGGTCCGCTCCCTATTCGTTCAGGGAGTATAGAACTCGAAAAATCTTCATAAAACGGGTCCGCTCTCTATTCCTTCAAAGAGTATAGGACTCGATCTTTAGCAAACGGGTCCGCTGTCTATTCCTTCAGAGAGTATAGGACTCGATCTTCATAAAATGAGTTTGCTTCACAACTCTTCCGTGAAGGCTTATAAATGATTTGCTTCACTACTCTTCCGTGAAGGCTTAAGATTGAATTGTTTCGAAGGTCAAACTTAAAATCCATCTTCATCGTGAAAACTTGTCTGGAAGCCATTGGATATGTGAATCTACTTTGGTTCAGTTTTCGTCTAAACATCATTCTTTTCAAGATTTCAAAACTAGTTATCCTCATCTTGATACTTTCATATCATCAATCTTCAAACTATCCCTGGGAAACCTGTAGATATTTAAGTCATCATGCAATTATGAATGCCATGATCCTATTCATGCCTAAATGTATGCAATTATGCAATTTAATGCAATTTCTTCTTCGAATGAACTCCATTTCCTTTTGATCACGATGGAACTCGGTTTCATCTTGGGTACAGAACATTTGACTAGTTCACCCCAGTTGACAATCTCAATACCATATCCTTCGGTTTAACAGGACCTTGACTTCTTTCTTTCTTGAAACCCGCCAATATCCATGACTAACTTCTCGACAAACAACAATCTCTTAGGGTCATCTTTTATTGGCTGAGATTTTCTACGAACTCCAAAGTTTTAACCTCCCATAACCACACAAGCTTACATGTTTAAACTATTGTCAACTTCAGAATACCTGCATTTTCCAAAACCTTTTGCACAATAATACAAAATGATCTCATGTACTTCAAGTTAAGCTATATGTTTTAACTTTTCAAAATAAGATGCTTACAAAAGGGAAATTAACAAGAAAAGACATCTCTTTATTTATATAAATGTCGAGAATTTTCACGTAACTACATGGCAAACTTTTAACTGGAAGAAGTAAAAGAACAAAAGAGTAGACGTCTTCAAATATCAATAATGCAAATGCTTTTGAACTGGCACGCCGTTAGAATGTCTCGAGTGTAGCTTATGTCCAAAAGATCTCCAAAAATTGTGATGTTTAAGAGTATGAAACTACTTCTAAACTCCCAAATCTCTATCATTGGATGCCCTAAACCAGTATTGAATCTCATGTGCATTCAATTTCTCTTGGTTATTTCAATCAACACTCATTAATCTTTGGTGTCAATCTTGATTACCAACTGTCATTGTCCCATATCAGGAGCTCTTTCCATTTCCAAAATCAATTCAGAACCTTCCACTGTGCACGAATTCTGAATTTCAAACTCAACTCAAGTCGCTCTTTGCGGGTTTTCAACTTGAGACCTCCTTTGGTTTCAAGACGCCCTTTTCGGGTTTTCATCTTGAACCCTTCTTTTATTTCTATTTTTTTCTTTTTTTTTTCTTTCTTTCATTTTTCATTTTTCATTTCTCCTTCAAGCGAAATATCTCTTAACAGCGTCGGAATTCACTGGATATGGTAATTCTGATCCGTCCATTTCAGTTAGGACTAGAACTCCCCCAGAAAAGGCCTTCTTGACAACATAAGATCCTTCCCAATTGGGCATCCATTTTCCTCTGAAATCCTTCTGAATAGGCAAAATCTTTTTAAGCACCAAATCTCCCTCATGGAATTCTCGAAGGCGAACTTTCTTACCATGTGCCCATATCATACGTTTTTTGGTACATCTGACCATGACAAATAGCTTTCAATCTCTTTTCTTCAATCAAATTCAACTGGTCATACCTAGCCTGGACCCATTCTGCCTCATCGAGCTTTACTTCTGACAAAATCCGAAGTGAGGGAATTTCCACCTCAATAAGTAAGACAACTTCTATCCCATATACCATAGAAAATGGAGTTGCTCCAGTTGACGTTCGTACAGAAGTTTGATAGGCAAACAAAGCAAATGGAAACTTCTCATGCCAATCTTAAAAGGTCTCAGTCATCTTCTCTATGAGCCTTTTGATGTTCTTCTTAGCCGCCTCTACTGCCCCGTTCATCTTTAGGCGATAAGTGGTGGAATTAAGATGCTTTATTTTGAATTGTTTACAGACTGAGCCCATCATCTTATTGTTTAAATTCAACGCATTATTAGAGATAATCCTCTCTGGTAAACCATATCTACAAATGATCTCATTCTTTAAGAATTTGCATATTGTAGACTGGGTAACATTTGCGTAAGAAGCCGCTTCT